GAAAATGTTGTTGGGATATTGACTGGAACTACATTGAATTTACACAACTAGTAGAGGAAAATTGACATCCTAATGATATTGAGGTTTGTGAGCTATGCACACAGTATATCTCTCCATTGATTGAGTCTTTCTATGTCTCCTTCAATTCAAAAAGCTTTAAAATCTTATATAAAAGAACGTTGAGCTTTTTTTGCTAGATTTATTATCGTGAATGAGATTTTTTTTAATTACATGTTCTAATTTGGCAGTCCCTGATACAGAGTCATTTTTTTTCTTTTCTGTTAATCTTGTATCCTAAAAACTTGCTACCTCTCTTCTAATTTTCATAGTTTACCTGTATATTCAATTTTGCCTCTTCCTTTCTAGGTGTTACACATTTTATACTTTTGGTTGCCTACTATGCTAGCTAAGATCTCCAGTACAATACCTACTACCTCTCTGGCATCACATATAGCTGTTACAATTCCATTGACTCTATTCCCTATGCTTTACTCCACATCCCATGAATATATATATATATATATATATATATATATATATATATATATATATATGTATATATAAAATCTGGGCCACATCCAATTCTTTAATGTGTATACAGGCCTTCTGTTTCTTCTCAAGCTTATTTTATTCCCTTGAAAATGTCTACTTTATCTAAGATTTCAAACTTAGTTCCATAAAGTTGTTCATAACACTCTCATTTGTTATTATTGATATGTTTTAATCTTTAGTGTTTATTTTGTTTGTATCATTTCCTCCCTTTTTTTCTCTACCTTGCCAGAGATTTCTCTATTTTAAAATTCATCTCAAAGACACAATGTTTGTTTTTGTTGATCTTCTCTATTGTTTCTTTGTTTCTAACTTCATTAACTTCTGCTTTTATCTTTATTGTGTTCTTCCATTTATATGCAGTCCTTTTTCCAATTCTTTGAGTTGGACACTTTGTTCATTAATTTTTAATTGTTTTTATTTTATACTAAATGTATGTAAGGCTGTAAATTTCCTTTATGTTACTGTCTAAACTGCATTCCACAAGTTTTTATAAATGATATGTTCATTGTTCCTGATTTTTAATATAATTTTTATGTAACCCATGAATATTTTTAAATTATTTTTTTTGAGATTTAGATTTTATTTAGCAGTTCATTTAAAAATAACAATAATGAACGCATTACATGTTAACATAAATAACATATTGTATGAAAACAAACATTATTTTGCAAAACAAAAATATCTATTGAGAAAAGTGAAATTCTCATTGAAGTGCATTCAATCATTTGCAATATGCTGTTTTGACTAATGTATATGAAGGTAATCACGCATGATATAGATACAGAGTTGGAAAAGTGAAAAGCATTCTAATGTCCTTTTATGATAATTGTAGACATTCTTCTTGGATATTGAAATATCCAAACTCAACAAAGGGTAGTTTCCTATAGGTTAGTTATGACATGAAATCTGACACTCTATGAAATGAACTTTTTATGCTCTGTTATATTAAAATCTATTGCTACATCTTGCAATTTAAATAGATAATTTTGTAACATCATCAATTACTCATTTGGGAAATCCTGGTTTACCATGTTACACAAATTTATATGTTAATACATTTCATTACATAATATAAAAAAATACCACATTTCTTAACATCACCACCAATCTCATCAAAAGTGCCTAAGAATTAGGAAGCTATAAAGTTTATAAGGAAGCTACAAATTATCCAAAATTCTATTTATGGTCTGAAAGCTCAAATTTTATCATTAATAACAAATACTATCAGTTTCTCTTGAAGTGATAAGCTTATTTCTTTCCCTTTAAAAAAAATGCCTGAATGACAATAGTTTGTCACCTACGTATCAAGTAAAAATGGTGTTTCATACAAAAATGCAGATAGTTTAGCTTGCTGCTCTACCAGAATCAACAGACACTTCTAGAGGAAAAGCATCCATAAATGTCAGACTCACCTCTCTGGGTTTTCTTTTTCTCTTAGAACTTGGCCCAGTAATTCTTCCATCTTTTGTGAACTCCAGTAACATCTAACAGATTTAAAAATATATTTTGTCTAGATATTCTGATTCACATCAGAAGAGGATAGTAAAGAATTCTTAGATCACAATACTAGAAACAAAATTACACCTTTAAATTTTTCTATGCATAGTTGACAAAGTATCTCTTACCTAACTCCTGTATAATACAGGCTTTAGAACTATTTCACTCAAGGCACTACCATCACACAATTATTATTAAATAGTATTGTATTTCAATATTATTTTAGCCCACAAATTTACTATTACTACTACTACTATTAATAATAATAATAATAATAATTTAGTCAATACTTCCTTGTGATCTCTCTGGGACAGTGAAAAGTTTACTAGTCTCCATTTAACTGATATTTCAGTTTTTCAAGGGTCTTCTTTTCTGCAAGAGTTTCAGTCCATCTCCCCATCTCAAATGGTCCAAATACCTTATCTCTTTTCCCTTTGTGGACATAAATACCCAAGACCCTAGTTATTACTGAGTATAATAATACCTCAAGGCTGCCAGAGGGTTAACTTATATGTTTATTTTTTTGGCTGTTAACATTCTATTTACTTCTGACACTTGAAAATTTCTCTTGTGAGCTAAGACATGTAATTTGAAAAAATATTATATTATATTCAATATTTCTAAGGGTTTATATTGAGACGGTTTAAGGGTAACCTAGTCTGCCATTTTGCTGATAGTCTTCATCTAGTCCTATAATTTTTTAGGAAATCACTAGAATGATATCCTTCTCTATGCCTAAATTTTATAGTTGTATAAAGCAATATATGCAAAATATTTGCCTCTAATTGTTTCAGTTAGCTCTGATCTGATTGACTGTGACCAATTTAACTCCCTAATCTTAGAATGGCTCTTTCAGTTCAGATTTTAGTGTCTTGGGGGAGGCCATTAAAGTGAGCATAATTACTATCTCAGTTGACTACAAGAGCTAAAATTACAAATCCAGATTATCAACCAGAGATTCAGAACCAAGATAAGAGAATAGGTGCTATTTCAAGATTAACCTACTTGAACTACCATTTATTAAGCCAAGTCCTCTTTTTTGTACTTTCTGGGTCCTGGACTTTTCTTACAACCTGGTAATCCCACACACAGTTTTCTGTTCACTCTTTCTTTTCACCCATTTCAATATTGCTTTCCAACTACCACTTTATCAATATAAATCTTCCTAAAGTCACCCACAATTTCCATGTTGATAAATCCAATAGGTACTTCTCTGCCCATGTCTCACTTGACCTATCAGTAATATTATACAAACTTCTTCTTGGAAAAGTGTCCCCTTTTAGATTTAGTTACACCACAATTTCCTGGATTTCCTATTACTCACTGTCCTCTCATTCCCAGTCTCTTTTGATGGTTCTCTTTTTCTACCTTATCTTTAAATCATGGGACACCTCAGAGCTCATTCCTGAGGCTCTTCTAATCTTTATTCTTTAGGATATCACCCAGTCCCATGTCTTTAAATATCACCTATATGCTAATGATTGCCAATTTCATATCTCCAACCTTAGCCTGTCAAATTCATTATATCCTACTGCTTAATTGACATCTTCACTTGGCTACCTATATGTTATCTCAAAGTTAACATGTTCGGTCTTCCACCCTTATTCTTCCCTCAGCCTTTCCCATTTCATTAATGGCAGCATTATCCACCCATTTGTTTAAGCCAAATCTTTTATTTTTCTCTTACCTTCATTCCCCATATCCGATCTTGAGGAGGAAATCCTGTTGGTTCTATCTCTAAAATATATCACACATCTGCCCAATGGCTCTATAAGGTGTGAATATTATTACTTTCATTGTGTAGCTACACAAGCAGAGATTAAGAAAACATGTTAGTAATTTGCCTGACACAACTTTTAAGTAGAGGAGTCTTTATTTCAGATCCACTATTCTTTCTATCATACCTTGACCCTCAAAGAATACTTTAGAATGAATAAGTGAAGAAAGTGATCTATGCAGTAGTAAAATCCATAACCATGGCTTTATCAAAAGAATATTCTCACCTACTAAAAAATAACTCGGCTATCTATAAATTAAAAACCTTTGCTACATATAAAGACCTTTGTTACATGTAATATAGAGTAATAATGATATCACATTTCAATACCTCTTAATATATAAAAATCAGTTTCAGAACTTAAGACTATAGAAGATAGACAACTTGACTTCCAGAACACCTTCTTTATGTGGCCAGTTGTACTCAAAGCCTATTGCATTCCTTAGGATTGGATCCCCCTTCTCCTCCTCCAGCAAGGGTATTCAATAAAAAAAAAGACTTGCCAAACTTTTATTTTGGCTTCTATACTGTAATAATTTTATTAATAATTAACATTTCTCAACAAAAATCCAGGGAACAATGGAGAGAACCTCGGCAGAGTCAGTATACACATTGAGGATATGGACTAAACATTGAGTGACATTTTGAGATAAAAAGACTGTATTTTAACCAACTAGGAGTCATTTTAAATGCTTAAATTAAATGCAAATATTGTTAGTAAGATTAGGGAAACCAGTTGATTATCAACATTGGAAGCTTTATCTTTTTATATGATGAATTTTATTAGAAAGTTACCTTTCCAATTGTAGAAACTCTCTTCCTGAATAAAGTTAGGGCACTACTGTACTGTGAGTGTGTGTTTCCCCCCAATTATTTCTTGTAGCATTGTAAAGCCTCTGCAAGTTTATTTGTGTTCTTAACGAATTTTAGTGAAACACACTTGACATTTGTTTGGCATTGACTTCATTTCTAAACCTTGAATGCCATTATCATTTTATGAACTTCTCAAAATCAATTTGACTTAGAGTTTATTTTATACATAGAGACTATCTTTTTTACAGAGTTCCTTGTACATTCACTCAAATGCTATAGAGGTCTTTGTGACATTTTGGTGATTCTAATATCTTTTGAATATAGTAGACTCTGATTTTAATAAAATATGTAAATATATATTATTTTAATTCCCCACAGAGCTCTGTACCATGGAGTGTGGTAGCCATGGAGTCTGCTCAAGGGGAATTTGCCAATGTGAAGAAGGGTGGGTAGGACCAACATGTGAAGAACGTTCCTGTCATTCTCACTGTGCTGAGCATGGCCAATGCAAAGATGGAAAATGTGAGTGTAGCCCTGGATGGGAGGGCGACCACTGCACAATTGGTAAGTACCACCATACTTTGAATGAAGTAAATTGGATTAATTGAAAAAATAAATACAGTCTAGTGAGTCAATCACCAGGCTTTTCATAGAATTTCAGGTTGGATGAGAGAAAGAGGAGGGTTAGCCATAAGTTTGAAAGTTTCATTAACTGAGAGGTTTCCTCTTTTTTTTATAATATTTTACTTTTTTCTTGCATCATTTTCTTTCTTGTTACTTCATTATTCCTTTTATTTTCTGCTTTCAAGTACTTTGAGTTACTCAAATGAAAAATGATACATTGGATTAAAATGTCATTAGTTAATAAGATAAGTGCTTTTGTTGTGAAGGTAACATTTGATGCCCACTTTTCCTTTTGAAAAGTGAATTGTTCATTGGGTATCATAGAGTGTTAGTACCAAGGCATCCACCCTCTCTCGTCCAATGTCACCAATTTCTCTAATTTTCAGGATGCTGCTTGGGAGAACACTCTGTGGGTATGAGAAAGCTTATGGAATAATCTGTCATGTGCCCTTCACACTATAAAAAATACTAATAATAATGGTTTCAATTTTAAAATACTTTATTTTTCTGAAAGAAAATCAAAGCCCTTGACCCATTATCTGCCACAAAGGTTTCCTGCATATACAGAGGGATAGGTATGCTTCCCACTGTTCAGCTAAGGAAAGTGGGTCACAGAGTGTTCCAGTGGCATTCCATGAGCACACAGAAAATGCATGCAGAGCCAAAACAAGCATGGGCCTCAGGATACACAATTCACTGTTTGGGGGTCTTTTCCCCCATCAGTCTGTACTACAGCTTCCATTTTTAGGTGGAGGTATTTTGTTATAATGGTTGGAACCTGCCAAAGTAATGTATACTATATATAACATACAATCTTAATAAATTTCACTACTACGCTACTAAAGGTACAGTAAGTCTTGCTCTCTGTCTGTGGAAACTATTTCAGATTCATTAAAAAGGTGGTGAGGGATGAGATTCAGATGCAGCTTAAGTAATTACATTCCTGTACTACAGTAAGTTTATTGCCTTCACATAAGAGGTTTTAAATATTGTGATGATTACCAAATGTGGTTACTCCAGAACTCCCTTCTAAAGATATTACTAATAAGAAATTCAAGGTAGTGTTCTTTCACAAAAGTTATTACTGAAATGTAAAAATTCATTTCTTATACTTTTAATGAAATATGACACTTTTTAGGAAGTCTAATAGAGTTTCTTGCAGAAAAGCTATTAATATCTTTCTCACAGAAAATATTATTTACAAACTACACAAGCCAGTGTACTAACTTTTGAGCTGCAGGCATTCAGCAGTTCAGTTTGCTGTTCTCTTTCCAGGCAGCAGATGGTAAACCATTAGTACATGTTGCATAGCTTTGGTCTCCCAGAAATTCATTTAATCACTCTTTTCCCCCCTTTTTAGCTCACTACTTAGATGCTGTCCGAGGTAAGATTTTGCTCATTACTTTTATAACATACAAATATTTTAAATGGAAAATATGCACGTGGGAAAGGAAAGGTTGTTTGTTTTTCTTTCATCTTTGGTAGTTTTAAGTATAATATTGTCAAGTTCATGCTATACTAGTCAGACTAAAAATTAATTTCTTTTAATAACCTCCAAGAGTCATTTGTTGCCATAACATATAATGGATTGATAAGCAGTTTTAAGAAGTAATTTTCTTTGTCTTTAAGTTGAGCTCTGTGTGTGTGTGTGTGTGTGTAACAAAGATAGGTAATTATTAAATTAACCAAGTTTAGGTAGATAGCTGAACTTTTTGTTTAACATAACAATATAGCTCCAAGTCCATGTACAGTATCCTTAGAAGGCCAGAAGAGTTGTCCACCTGTAAGTACTCCATCATCCATCCTCCACTCAGGGATCTGCCTTTGATAGCGACAATAAAGGTTTTTCTGTTGGATATCCTAGTGCCTTTCATTACCTCAGCCTCAGAAGGTTAAATACATTCCAAATTATCCCTAAATTATCTTCTCCTTTGTATATACATGAGAATGGAACTAGATAAATACATATAGATATATAGAGATATGTATCTATATCTATCCATATCTATATCTATCTATATCTATATCTATATCTATATCTATATATTCATCCTATACTGCTTCTTGTGGAATATATAGTCATGTACCACATGATGATATTTCGGTCAAGGATGAACTGCATTTACAATGGTGCTCTCATAAGATTATAATGGAGACGAGTATTTCTATCACCTAGTATGTCATAGCCATGATAATGTTGTAGCACAATGCATTACTCACATATTTGTGGTGATGCTGATGTAAACAAACCTACACTACCGATCATATAAAAGTATAGCACATACATTTACAGTAATAGTCTATACCATCTAGGTTTGCGTAAATACACTCAATGATGTTTGCACAACAAAATCACCTAACGACACGTATGTCAGAACTATCCCCAACATTAAATGGTACGTGACTATGTGTATACACACACACACACACACACACACACAGAGACCAACAGTTGGCCTTCCATATTTGTGGGTTCCACATCAGTAGATTCAACCAAACTCAGATCGAAAATACTGGCAAAAAAAAATCCTTGATCCCTAAACAATACAGTATAACAACTATTTATATAGCATTTACATTGTATTAGGTATTATATGAGCTAGAGGTTATTTAAAGTATATGGGAAGATGTGCATAGGTTATATGCAAATACTATACCATTTTATATAAGGAAGCTGAGTATCCATGGAATTTGGTATCTGCAGGGTGTCCTGGAACAAATTTCTCATGGATACCGAGGGACAACTATATAATAATCTTGTCATATTTTCTAACAGCCATCTTTCACTTCATTTTAAAGGTTTTTCTTCCTTGGTCAGTTGATAGTTGCTTGGAAAACCATTTTTCAGGAACACTGGGTTAGGTCTACAGATTTTAAAAAATCCTTTTCTCTTTATACTTATGAATTTTCTTACAAAGACAGAAAATGAGAAGACTATTGATCGGCGTATTTCCAGTAAAATCCAGATCTGGTCTTGTATTGCTACTGGGAAAATTTCCAGAAGTTCTATGCCATTATTGCTGTCTCTGTTCATCTGCTCATTGAGCACTTGGCACAAGCACAGTTGCCCTTTGGAATAGCCTAACTCTGAACTACTTGTAGAAAGAGTAGTAGGTCTAACTAGAGACCATTGTCAGTGTTTGTGGTTTATCAATGGACAGAAGTCATTTAAGCATAACACTTTCCTCTTGACTAAATTCATCCATGTATTCTCTATAATTCTGAAAGTCTAAATTTGGCATGCACTAATTCCATAAACATTTGTTAAACACTACTGACATAATATTATGCTACCTACCAAGCGAGATAACCAGAAAAGTAAAAATTCAATCCTTAGCACTAAGATTAATAATAATCTTGAAGAGAAAAATTGAATAGATGTAAAGCAACTACAGCAATTTCTATGGCACTATATGAGCAAATACTTAATGGTATGGTCTGAACTGTATGTCAACATACCAAAGTGGTACATCCTAAGGGAAAAATCCACACAGACTAGAAGTAGTTAGGGGAAGTTTCTCTTCATAGGAACTGCTGCCTTTTCCCAGCTTATTGGCCATAACTAGATACAATACTATCCATCCAGTTTTGATTGAAATGAGGAGATACGTTTTTTCAAAAACAAACCAAAACCATTTCTTGTTCCCATCATAGTTTTCATCCTATCTGAACCACAGGTTGGCAATTGGGGTTAGCATTAATAATGCTTAATTGACCCTCTAAGGAAAAGCACAGCAAAGTAAGGGATAACAAGTTCCCTGGGTAGTTTTGATAAGCAAGCTCTTCTTCCGTTTATTCAACACCTCATCTGAACGGAGCCCAGATGATTAGATGCTTCTCTATAGGGAGATACAGCATTGTTGGCCAATCCCATTCTGATGTCTCCATGATTGTTACTCTCTGCTGTCTTTTCAGATGGCTGCCCAGGGCTCTGCTTTGGAAATGGGCGATGTACCCTAGATCAAAATGGTTGGCACTGTGTGTGTCAGGTGGGTTGGAGTGGGACAGGCTGCAATGTTGTCATGGAAATGCTTTGTGGAGATAACTTGGACAATGATGGAGGTGAGTCATTTATAAAATGTTCATATAAGAAAGAAGTAGCCCAGCCTCTAGCACAGTGATGACTAATCTGGCCAAGAGTGAAAATTAAGAATCCTTAGTATAAACAATATTGAGTTATATAAGGTCATACTATTTTTAAATCTCAATGTCTTGAAAATTTGCTATAATCAGGCAATAATTCAAACTCTTTGCATGCATTATATCTCATTTAATTCTCAGAACAACACTATGAGGTATAGATACTGTTTTCCCTATTGATAGATGGGAAAACTAATGCATGGAGTGGGGATGGTAAGGTAAGTGACTTTTCCATGGTCACACAGCTAGAAAGTATCAGAACCAAGGTTCCAATTCAGGGCTTTATGACTTCGGAGTCTGTTTAATTAACTACTAAAACATGCTGCCTCTCATGCCTATGGTATTTACTATACTATACTGTACTATAATTCAATCAGCATACCCCTGTCCAAACTGTCAGATGCTAGAGTAGCTTGCACTATATACAATATGAAATAGTTTTCTTTGTTCTTAGTTATTTAGAGCTCCCTCTTGTGTTTCTACCTTTCAGTAATACTTTATATCTGTCAAAGGACACAGGCATCAAGACAATTCACGGTACAATAATTTATATTTAATTCAAGAGCTGCACATGATGTTTTAAAGAGCCATATGTGGCTCCGAGGCCTCAGGGTAACTACTTCTATTTCAGCCAAGCAAACAAAATCATCCAATACTTTATACAACAGGACCTCAAAACAGACCAAGTCACCTCTGAATGTTCATGAAATGACAAATCCTCACTTTCCTGTTACTTTCTACTCAAGGAAACATAAAATTAACATAAAATTTTCTGTATATTAGTTTAAAATGAAGTAATTTATTAAATTTGACTCTTCGGGTTTCTATACTGCTTAGACAATTATATACCTTGTCATTTGTATCCAAACATGGGCCTTAAGTCAATAAGTGAGCAATTGTAATTTAAGCACCAAATTACATGTAAGAGTTTCCTCTTTTACTTGTCCTGGCTAACAATTTACCTTAAAAAGTTTTAAGACCTTATGAACTTTAAGTAGAAGCAACTTCGTGGTTAAAAGCACAGGGCTTGAGGGGCCACCGGTTAGATCAGTTGGTTAGAGCACAGTGCTCATAACACCAAGGTTGACGGTTCAATTCCTGCATGGGCCACTGAGCTGCGCCCTCCACAACTAGATTGAAACAACTACTTGACTTGGAGCTGATGGGTCCTGGAAAAACACACTGTTCCTCAATTAAAAAAAAAAAGCACAGGCCTTGAAGTTAGACTTTATGGGTTCAAATACTAGCTCTACTTTGTACTTACTGGCTGTATGATTTGGGAAGAGTTTTTTGATATCTCTGTGCTTCAATTTTCTTATCTCCAAAATGGGGCTGGTAATAATATTAAATGTCTGAAAGGATTGTTATAAGTATTAAATGAGATAATTCATGTAAACTTCTTAAAAAGATGATAAACTACACCACTCCCCCACCCACCCACATACATGTACAACAAACTTAGGATAACAGACCCTTTTCTGATGAGATTGCTTTACTGCCTATCTAAATGGAAATTTTTGTTTGGGAAGCCAGAGTGAAATTTTCAATTAAATGTTACACTGACCAACTATTTACTTGACTTTTATGGCCCCCCCAAGACTCATCTTCACCTTCCTTCACTTCCTTTGCATTATATGCCCCTTGACCTGGTGAGCCCTCTCTTCTGCACCCATCATTCTCTGTCCATCATTTAAGTCCCAATTCAAGCCACATCTCCCATGAAACCTCTGGCATCCACCACCCCAATATCCAATGGTGCTTATCATATGCATCATATGATCAAGCACTTTATTATATTCTGTCTACATGGTTTTCTAGTTGCATGTTAAGCATGACCCAAAGTCTAGAGTTATATGCCGAATATGATCTCTCATAATATTAACTTACTTGTATTAAAGATTAACTCTATACAAGGCAGTCCTTTATGTGAATATTTTCATTTAATCCCCATGAGGTAGAATTACTAATAACACTACTTTACAAATTAAGAAACCAAGGCACAGAGGTTAAGTAAGCTGCTCAAGAATATATAGCAAGGAAATGATAAAGCCAGGGTGTAAACCTAGGTGGTCTGCCTCATTCCAAAAAGGATATGAGGTAGTAATTGAGATTTCTCAGTTGATACATTAAAAAATTTATGTTCAGAAAATACATTAATGTCCTATGTGATTATAATTTCTCACCTCAGTTAGGGTTGATCTAAAATCAGTTTCCTACCTTAATAAATACAGCTTGATAAAAAAATAATTGAATATTTAATTATCAAGCAATTTTATATCCTCAAGGTCACCTCAAGGCTACCAGAAATGTTTAATGACTGATCAATTAAATATCATGGATCATCAATTTTCAACATCTGTTGTATACATAGATGCAAAAGGTATAGAAGTTGCTGCTGAATGTGTATTGACCTCTGAATATTTCTTTAAAACTCTGTATCTATGTGGGAATCAAAAATCAAAGACCCTGATATAAGTTCAGTGTATTTTTAATGATTGTTTCTCTAGGGAGGACAGGGGAAGGCTCCTTGAGATTTCCAATTACCATAATTTACCTTTAGTAGGATGAAGATGATATTGATTATATAGATTCAATTCTACCTTGAGATGGAAAGATGGATTAAATAATCTCTGAAAATACCATGACTAAGAAGTTGGACAGTAATTTTATTTTTATACTGTTTAAATATCATCCCTCAGAATACATTAAAAATCCTTCATTTCATAGTCTCAGTTTTCCAGCGATCCAGAATGGCTGGATTCATTTAGTTAAATATGACTAATTATTAATATTTGCATACTTGTTTCTGCATGTGCGTATGTGTGCACGCATGTGCATTTTAATTAAATCAAAGTGCCAATTGATCCTTTTGGAAAAAAGTGGTCCTGATTTTAAATACGTAATTCTTAAAAAATCTTCCTAATCAAAAAATCACTTTCCAGCAGTTGCTTCAAGTAGCTGTTACCTGATTACTCCATATTCTAGCTGATACTTAAAGAATGGTCATTTTTTTTCATTCAAAGCTTTGAATATTCATTATTATTGCTGCTACCTCCTGCAGCTTTGACTTTAGTTACACTCTGATTCAATGCATTGTGACTCTTAGTAACTAATTGGGCTCCATTGAATATGTAAGTGACACAGCGGGTCTAGGAGCTACCTAAGAGCTCCTTGAACAGTAAAAGCAAAACAGGGAACAAATAACCTTTGGATTTTTTTTTCTTAACATGCAAGAAAAGGAAAGGTATCTTGTGAATTTTACTTATAAGAACTAATTAGTTTAGAAATCACAAATCTATCAAATGCCTTGCCCTCATTTATCCCTTTAGTCAACAAAGCACCTACCATGTGCATAGCCCTGTGCTTGGAGGAGGTGACTTAACATGATGGTGACTACATTTTCAATGTGTTTGATAATCATGTATCCTGATTTGGCATTTGGAAAATATGGTTACTACCCAGTACATGCACATATGAATAGGCATGAGGAAAAAAGTTTAGACATTATAGTAACTGAATCATTATAGCTAAAACAAAGACTAGTGAGAGCAAGCCGAAACTATCAGAAGTTAAAGAATATTTTAAAGCTCCAACAATTAAAGCAAAGTGGCATGGATGTAAGAGTATACAGATCAATATAATCGAATAAAAGCTCTGGAACACACCCCATAAAATTTAGTATATTATAAAACCAGCATCAAAAATCAGTGGAGGACACACAATGTGATATATAGATGATGCATTACAGAATTGTACACCTGAAACCAAAGTAACTTGACTAACAATTGTCACCCCAATAAACTTTAACTTTTTAAAAAAATCAATGGAGGAAAAGAAGCACTGTGAAATAAATGGTGCTGAGACAAAATATTAAGAAAAAAAACCTTAGAGTTTCAATTCATACCATATTCAAAAAAATAATAGTAGTAAGATAAATAGAAACACTCCAGCTGATTAACGAGTTAAAGATAAAAGAAAACTGAAACACAATTAGAAGAAAATATCAGTGATAGATCTCAAGATGGGAAGGGAGTTCTTAAAAACACAAAAGCAAGGAAACCACAATAGGAAAAATGATAAATTGGACTTCATACAAGCTTTCAAACTTTTTTGTTGTTTGGCTAAGTTTATGGACCATCCAACATCTAACTATTTGTAGATACCAAAATCTGCATTGTCTGATATATAGCCACTAGCCACATGTGACTATTTAAATTTAACTCAAACAACATTAAAAATTCTGTTTATCAGTTGCACAAGCCACAACTTAAGTGCTCAGTACTCACATGAGGCTAGTGACTACTGTATTAGCACACATCTAGAGCATTCCAACTGTCGAAGAAAGTTCTATTAGATAACGCAGATCCAAATGTTTGATTCACATGTTTAGCTTTCAGACAAACATACCATACTGAGTACCCAGTTTTTCATTGATTCATTACTACTTTGTGCAAAATATTATGCTTGGCACTGGGAAGAAAATGACAAATAAGAGAAGTTTCCTGCCTTTGTGGAGTTTATGGCCTAAGAAGGAAGACAGATATTAAATAAGGAACCATACAAATAACTATGTGTGTCCAACTGTAAAGAGTGCTATAAAATTTTTAGAGTGTTATAAACGTATATAGGGGGACTAACCAAGTCTATGTGGTTATGGAGGCCTCACATGAATTCAGGGAATAATGTTCTGGGCCAAGGAAACAGCAAGTACAAATGCCCTGAGGTAAAAATGTACTAGCCTCTTCTAGGAAGTGAAAGGCAATTCATAGTGGCTAGAATACAATGAGTAAGGGAGAGTTTATGGGAAATGAGAATATAAAAGTAGGCATTGGGAAGATCATACAGAAATGTATGAGTTATAAGATCTTCAGTTATCAAACAATGATTATGTTTTATTCACTCCAGTGAAAAAGGAAGAAAAG